CCTGACTCGAACAAATCCATCCTCAATAGTAGGGTAGATTCGTTTGAGTAACTTCGTGGAAATTTTGTTTCGTAAAATGAAAAAGGACAAAATTAAAGAAAGAAAAAAAAATAAAATAGAATAAAGGGAATAAAGGTAAGTAGGGAAAATAAATAAAGAAGGAGAAAAAAAAAAAAAAAAAAAAAAAAACTGCATCTAACTACTAATCCTTCCGTGGAGCCAACTGTCGGATCCAAGGCCCATGCTCAACCGACCTCTAACTAACCCCCGACATGGAGGTCACGGGTGCAAGTCTTGCCAGTCATCCGCGGGTGAAACCGAAAGTAGAGCTCATCGTTAAAAGAGTTAACTTGGGGTCGGGGCAGATTCGATCCTTGCGTATCCAGCTTGACAGTCTGCCCGGAAACCTACTAAGCTAGCTCCTTCTTCGAGTTGAAGAGGAGCAGCTCTTGTATATGTGTAGGGGTAGGGCTCAGTTCGACCAGTGGTCTAAGCCCAAATCCAAATCTGCACGTGTGTACGCCTGCCGGGCTGCGTGCCTGTCGGAGTGCTTATTGGCTTGAGTGTGTGTGTGACCTGCGAGGGCACATAGTTGATCGGAAGGCCCGAAGGGCCGGTACTTAGCCGTGGCCGCGACATTGAGGGTCACGGCGGGGAAAATATTCAAGCGGCGGGAAAAAGAAGCCCGTGGCACTTAGAGTAGTGGAAAAACACTTAAGCAGCAGGTCGGCCGGTACAACACCTAATAGAGGTAAATGTACCGAGTACTCTAGGTTGAGCAGAGGAAGACAAACATTGACATTTTTAGACGCCTAGTACCAGTAGGTAGACAAGTACCAGGCCAAGTCTCAGTACGTGTCGTAGATCTACCCTACACAGTTTTAACCCAATCAACCCCTCGACCTTTTCGGTCCGAGGGTATTACTACTAATCTTAACCATCACAACGCGCGTCATAACAACGAGCGGGCATATTCTCGAGATCTTCTCACCGATTTGCCTCGGCCTCAATGGTCGAGGAAATCGTTTCCAAAGTGTCATGCGAAAACGCGAACACTTCTAAGTTCATACCAACTCCGTCATGGTAGCCGACGTCGTCACCTGTGTCGAATGCAAAAGCATGGCCAAATACCCTTGTAAGGGTATTCGATCCGACAACGGGCCGTACGGAGACCTCCCGTACGTCGACACTGGATGCAGGGCAACAAGGGGACAACTAGAAATTACCGACTCATCTTCCACGACTGGACCAAGCTAGATGGCTCAATCCCAATTCGACCATGTGATGAATTCTCTGACTTCTTTGGCCCCCGCGCAAATAACCTAGTAGGAATAGATTGGTATGGGGGAGAGAGATGGGAAGGAAGGGACAAGGAATAGAGGACAGGTGCCCACCCTGGGGGGCTATTCCGGGACAAAAGGACTGATGTACATATGGGGAAAGGGTTTAAAGTTTATTAAGATACAAATAAATGAGGTGGTAAAGATTCTTGGGTAAAAGGTAGTTGGGAGAGGGAGGAACTAGTCCCTCAGCACTAGGTATCTGGCGCCTGGTACAGGGCGAAAAGGTTTTTCCTTTTTCTCAACAACCTGCACAGTAAACCCTCTGGAGGCCAGAGTAATCAATGCTTGTATATTTTTCTCAGTTATCTTCCCTGACATTTTCCTGAATCATTCTATATAAGGGACGCTGGACCCGTTTTCCAGTAGGTGATGCTCCCCACCAATAGATGGAGCTTCTATTTAAAAAAAAAAAAAAAAGGCTAGGTTACCAGTCGTCCGATGGCCGGACGTCTCGGCCGGACATCTCCCCCAACCGTCCGGTAGGGGGGTTGTACGGGATCCCGGACAACCACTTTTTGAAATTAAAAAAATAATAATAATAAAAAAAAAATGAAAGTGTTGCGCATGCCATAGAGATCCCCCATTAAAAAAATCAGAATTTTCTGAGCATTTGGTGATAGGGTGCTATTTGGGGTGGGAGGGGGGGGTACGAGGGGTTTTGGTGGGGATAGGAGGGGTATAAGTGGGGATTAGAAACTTTGAAGATTTTTATCTTTTTTTCTACTAGCTCAAATGAGCCAAAATTTTGGTGGCATACACCTTATGCAAGGTAGAAGCCACATGATTTATTTATTTATTTATTTATTTATTTTGCGCTAGGTCGGACAACCCTTGTCCGATCCGACGTCCGACCAGACGTCCGGTCGGACATCCCGGACGGTCAGGGGGGTCCCGGGCGTCCAGAAAAACAACCTAGAAAAAAAGTGATCCGGCCACCCAGGGGAGCCATGGCAGGTCACTCGTGGATTTCGTCTAGGGTTCAAAAGTAGGAATACTGGTCGTGAGTACATTTGTGGAATGTAATTGTGCTGCAGGGTGTAAGCTTCAAAAAGTGATTTAACTGTTAGGCTTGGGACACCGGACCCGGTTTCCATTTGTAGCCGAGGCTGGGTAGTGGCCCAAGATACTTCCGGGTCGAACTGTGAGGTCCCCGGCCTCTTCCTTTCGTTTTGTAATGAAATTTCAACTTTCTAAAAAAAAAGGAAAGCGACATGATCCAAAAGCATTCTGGGAGGGATCAGCTCTCCACGGCCCGCGTAGTTCTGCAAAGGACTGCCCCTTCTGACCTGTAGTCGTGCCCCCTTTCCCCTGGGGCTGCATACCTCGGGTTGCAGCCCAGACCGTACTACAACTCCGTCCTCAATGAGTAGAACCAGTCCCTGCTGGTACACATTGAAAGTGCAGCGTCCTTGTATACCAGTTGAAGTTTTGGAGGGGGCCCGTACTAGTGGTTTAAGGGTGTAAACGTCTTAAAATTTCCAAGTCCCCCCCCCCCCCCCCCTAAAAAGCCTACCGGGTAGGGTGTTGTAGAGGCCAAGGACCGGACCCGCGGTGATTGCTGGCAGCGGCAGCCAATGGTTGTCTTGACAGGATAGGCCACCTACCTTCCCTATCCCCACGTTTACACTCCTAGCGCACCCCTTGTCCCTACTATCTACCTCAGTGTGACCAGCACTCAGGACCATCGCCCTATCAGTATCGAGGGCAACTTGGACCAGACAACAGCGACAAGCACCAAGGTCGGGCCAACCCCCCATCCCTAGTGGAAGCGGAAGCGGATGAACCTTGATGTACGAGAACTTCGGACGCCAAGCTCTTGCAATCTTCTACAGGCGCAATTTTGAGAGTCTACCCAGCAGGAGTGCCTAAGCAAGGCAAGTCGGCCCCCACGGACACATCCTACCGTCCTTCCCCTAACTTACCCAACGCTAGGCGGAACTCAGACTAGCCAGAGCCTATGTGACACCCTAGGCCGCGGGCCCGCAACCGAGTTTGCGCGTGGCCTCACCAAGGCCAGGCGGGGGCGCGCGCGGAAAAACGGCGCGCGTGCCCCGCCTGCGCACGTCGACCACAACCAGTCTACCACCCTATAAAAAAAAAATAAAAAAAATTGAAACTTTGGGGGGGTCGTTTTGGGTGAGTGACAGAAAAAATTTAAAAAATTGAAAAAAAATAAAAAAATAAATATTGATTGATTGACTGTTCTTTTATGGATTGATTGATTGATTGATTGATTGATTGATTGGTTGATTGGTTGATTGATTGACTGATTGATTGATTGATTGATTGATTGATTGATTGATTGACTGGTGGGGGAGGAGTCCTCCCTCCCCTCCCTCCGGCACACGTTGTCGAAGGGCGCGGTGTCCCGGCCTTCCTCGGCGTACCAAGTTCCTGCTCTGTGCCTGCGGCCTGTAGGTATGTTCCTGAGTTGCAACCCTTAGTACCTGGGCGGTACCTCGACGTGTACCGGCCCTGTTGGTCCCTGTGACAAAAGGTGCGCCACAGGGCTTTCCATTGGTCCACGCAGGCTCGGCGCCTTGCTGTACAGCAGAGCACAACCGGCCTGTGGCCGTGGTAGCCGCCGGGCTCGCCTTGGCACGCGAAAGTAGACAGATCGGCGCAGTCTTTTCTAGTGCCCGCTGAATGTTTTTTTACTTGAGTTATGGGTTAGGTGCACTAAAACAGGTTGCTGTCGGAAAGGGAAAATTGAGCAAAGGGGCAGAAGGAAAATGAGAAAATAAAAACAAGAGAAAAGAAAAACAGAAACGCCTGATTGGCACGCGGATCAGGGCCGTTGCCTTAGTCCGGAGTAATCCAGTGGCAGTTGTACACAGTGTCGTTTGATTTTCCTTTCTTTTATTATTATTATTACTATGATTATTATTATTAGTATTATCTTGCAATCAGATGCAGATTTTCTTCGGTTCAGGTCACTTCGCGGAAAGGTCAACGGTTCGAGTTCCGAACGTGGCTGCAGTCTGTGGCCCAGACTGGTCAGGTCTGTCGTTCTCGAGCCGACGGTTAGGAGGCTCGTTCAGGCGCCGCGCGGTAGGACCCCAAAAGAGGGACGACCCGCGGCCGCATCGGTAGGAAGCTTATCACCCCTGAGAGGGGTCATAAGCCCCCTCCTTACCATCGGACACGGGTACCCGATAAGGTTAGCTCGGTGCTGCGTTTAAAAAAGGGGAGCATGACCTTCAGTATCCCGTTATGGGACCGCAGTGTCGAACCTGCTGTCTTATCGCGAGGGTCTGAGACTGACAAGTGCAAGGCTGGTTCATGATCGACCGTTGGGTTTCAGGCTCGAGTATTACTTTCTGAAAATGATTTAGTTTTAGTTTATCGCCTCATTTTATTTATTGCTTTATTTTAAAACTTTTCTTTTTTTAAATTCTTGAATCCGGTAAGATCCGAAAAGGACTAATCGGAATACCTCATTTAGAACGCAGGGAGGCAAGCCTATAAAAGGAAGAGGGAGTCGGAATATCGTCCGCGGCCGACAGCCTGGTAGCACGCAGTCTGTACCGCGGGCTCTGGTGGAGAGAGGCGTGCTATTGGAAGTTGATGGGTTTGTGCTGTACTGTTTACCGAACGGGTGCTGGCTATTAAGAAAGAGCGGCTATGACATTGCATGGGTACAGGCCCGGGTATTGGTATCACCAGGCCCGGTGGAAACCCATGTCTGGGGAAGGGCCGTGGATCACAGTCATGCTCAACTACGATGGGGGTGATGAAGTGAGGATGAAGATTAACGTAGAAGGGGCCAGAGAGGTGGAGATGCGGACTGATGGAAAACTACAGGACGCGATCACGGAGGCGAAAGATCGTGCGGAGAGGCATTGCAGGAGGGACGGAGTGACAACAAGATTGCAGGTAACGGTCTCGTATCATGAGACCGAGACCTCAATGGACACAGCGGACCTGGAACAAGCCCATCTGGATCGGGACTCAGGGGGGGGGAGCGAGATGAGCGAGGCAGGAGATCGGGAGACGGACCTCAGGTCCTGGAATAGACCAGGCAAGATCGAGAGGTATCACCGAGCCGCGAAGCCGGTGGAAGAGGGACCCGAGGCCAGCTCTCGACAGCTGACCCCCAGAGGCCGCGGGACGGGTGAGAGGCAGAACAGGGGGAAAAGACAGGTCTGAGACGACGTGCGGGAGAGAGTGAAAACGGGACTGAACCTGAAACGGAGAGAGAGAAGGCGGTCAACGAAAGGGGAGAGGGCGTGAGCGAAAGCGCGGGCAAGCGTGCGGTGTGTGACGAACGTAAAAACCAGTGGACTGTGCACGATCACAGCGCGTGAGCCTAACGCATTCGTCAGAAAGGTGGAAAAACAAGTGGGCTAGCCGCGGGGAGATAGACAAGCACAGGGGCTTATGCATGTGCACGATACACACTTGGCGTCAGCTGTACACTGACGGAGCGAGGTCGAGCGAGCGTTTTTTCAGACTGCTCTTGGGGCAGTCAGTCACCCGACACTTACGAGTGCTGAGCTGATGAAGTGTGGCTATGCCATCTAAGGGTAGAGTTGTGATTGGGGGCAGAACGCAGAGAGAGTTCGGGCACTGTAATGAGTACGGGGTGACCCGTGCAAAAAGGGGGTGTTGATGTCAACATGGGAGCTATGGAAGGCTTCGACCCTTGCTCTCCTGGCGGACTCCGTCATCTGCACGCATAGAAGTGTCTGAGCGAACTGCTGGCCAATGTGCTCCTCATACTGTTATGCTGAGAGGAGACGTGAAGATACGCCTGCATGCATGCTCTGGATAGTTGGCTCGCCAGGCGGTCCAAGACCATTGCCACTGCCTCCTGGATGAGCAGTCCGTTGAAGAGTCCAACGCACGCGCTCCACAGGGCATGTGTGGAACCAGTGTGAGAAAGGTCCGCCGCCTCGCGTCAAAAGGGAATTTTGAAACGGACGAAACCAGCGAGAGGGAGGTGTATCTTGCACCTTGAGAACGTTTTCACTTACTGGTGGGAACATTTGTATTGGCGACTATCTGTCTCGCCCTCATCTTGTGACTTTCAACCTGTAATGGGGACTGCAATCAAGGGTCGTCAACGCGTTTCTTTCACGACCATCTTAACCGTGTCCTCAGATAAGATAATAGTCATTGCAAAATAATCCCTTATTATTTCTGCTGATTTTAGTGTTCTGCTTAGTATTCCTTTTCTGTTTTTTTAGTCCGGCCAAGTAGTGTGAAAGATCGTTATTAACCAATCAAGCTGCCTCATGATAACGAATCAGGCCCTCAGGTAGGCAGTGCAAACGGGTAAATAATGGGAGGGGGCCGGCGCGTTGAGGCCTAATTTGAGCGCTTAGTGACACTGGAGCTGAACATTCATGGCATTGATATGACCGTATACTTGTTCATTTGGAAGTACTGCTTGCATTGAGCTGCTTGTTTGACTATTTGGCAAGGCCAAAGAGACATGTAACCCTCGTTTTTGTGTGTTTTATGCCCTTGGAGACGGAAATTACAAACACGATTTGGAACCAGACTCTTCCTTTTCGTCAGCCTGTGATCACACGGAGTGACCATGGCGTGCGTTAACACAGTGTCATCGCACCTTGTGACTGCATAGTGCTGATTACACAGTGTGACCACGACGTGCGTTAACACAGTGTCTTCACACCGTGTAACTGCACAGTGCTGATTACGCAAGTGTGACCTCAACATGCAACTGCACAGTGTCATCACATCGTTTGACAACACAATGCAGACTGCACCGTGTAACAACATTGTATAACTACGTGACTACGTCTGCGTGATTGCATAAGTGAACGGTTGTTCCGGCTCACTCATATCTTGTCAGTTGAATATTTGTTTGCAGCTGTATGAGTTCACTTGTGACTTGAGGGAGATTGCGTGTGTGTCCATATAAGTTAGTACGCGCCCATGTGAATAGACGAACGCATGCTTGAGTGTTTTCCCTTTCTTGCTGGTTTGATGAGAGCAAGTAGGTATCTGTCGAATATGCAGACCTGCTTCTGACTTTGGGAGTACTTGTATGCCGAAGGAAGCATGGGGACGATACCCTTTTGATCTCCATCCGTGCCTTGACTTTGGATGTATGGGGAAGAGAAAAGCAACACTGAGAAGGATTTCTTACGTCCTCACTAAATACCTACTTGATGGTGACTAAATGTACGAGTCTGTTCAAGTCGGAGCAGGCGCCCACTCCAAAAGCGTGCAGAGTCATAATTTCGTCCTTGCTATTGTGCTGCATGCACCTCCTTTTTCTGTTCTCAGGAGACGCTGTCTTTTGATGATCATCTGCCTAATCGATAATAGGCTTGATCACCAGGACGATTTTCTCTGAGGTCCTGTTTTGTCAGCTCCCTTCAAAGTTGGATACAACTTAGTCAAGCGCCAGGTGTTAGTTTTCAGATAAAAAGAAAACCTTGGTCTCCGAGTTTTAGTTATTTCGGGCTTTTAATTAGAGCGTCTCATTGAATCTGACTTGTCCGTGTGGTATGGGTGGGCTGTATTTAAGGTCAAGCCCTCAACCCAGAAAACCCTGGGCTGAACCGACAGTATTTTACCACTGGGGTTCATGGAATTGGATATGTGAATCTCGAAAAAGGGGTCTGTCCTGCACGTGACTGAGGGTCAGTGTCGTGGTCAAGTGAAAACGAAGCGAGCGAGTCTCGTGGGAAAGCATTTGCAGTCCTCCTTCCATCCTGTCCACTGCAGGACCAAGTTAAGGATATCAAAGGGCAGGACTGCCATGGAAGGTACAGGCTGGGAGAGAACGACCTACTCCCTCCGCCTAGACAGAAGGGGTGACTGGGAAGGAAAAGTAGTCAAAAGGATTCCGTATATCTTGGGGTTAATGAGAAGAAGAATGTTGAAAACAGTGAAAGATCAAATGAGCGTGTCATATACTGTTTACCTGCACGAGCTGGATGGACGACTGCACAACACCTACTCATCTGTAGAAACGGTGGACCAGGCACGGGAGTCACTTAGCGCGTAACTACAAGAGTGAGGAGTGAAAAGGTTGGGGACAGTACCTTGTCAAATGTAGGAAAGGATAGATTGGTGGGAGCGGGGTATATAGCAACTCTAAGACCCAGTCATCTAGCAAACTCTCATTCAGCGTTCAAGCATTGTCTGACAAACACGCAACTAGTACTCAGAGTTTCAAGCATTCATTGGGTGCGTGGATATCAGTCAGATAACGGGGGTGGCTCAACAACTAAATATCGAGGTTTTCTGGATTCCAGCCGGAAGGTCAATCAGCGACTGTACTATTGCTGTTCATGTCGAGGTCTACAATTTTCTTGGCTCTTTAGGCGTAAAATTGTCAATGCTTTGGCAATCTATAATTGGGTTAGTAGACAACCAGAAATCAGACTCAGACTTTACTCAAGCAATACTCAGATGCTACTCAAACAATACTTAGGCATTACTCAAGCAAGACTTTGACACTACTTAAGCAATACTCAGACGTTACTCAAACAATGCTCTAGCGTTATTTAAGCAATACTCAAGCGTTACTCAAGCAAGACTCAGACATTACACTAGCAAAATACTCAGACAACTTTCGGAATACACACAGACAGCGTTTAACTGTACTCGTAACTCAGGAAAGGTATTTTGACAAGTGATCGGAACTCAGAAAAAACATTTTGTAAGTCCCCAGGACTTAGAACGACACATTGTGCAGAATTCAGAGCTTTGAACTATGTCTTATTCTTTTCAGTTGCTACTCAACTATCGTTCAGTTGTTATCCTATTGCTAATCAGTCACTACACAGTCTGTATCTAATCAACGAACAACCAAACTAAACTGCAACAGGCTTTCTTCAACAAACGATAGCCAACTTCGAACGACAACAAAACGTTCACTAGTAAGCAACAGTTAATTTATTCAGGTCAGCATAGCAGTCAGTTCAACAATCAACTCAAGAGTCGGATCAGCACCAATCAGCAGACAACATACGTCATTTTCCATGAGTATAGTCGAATCATTTCGAGTCAGCGAGTCAGTGCTGACCAATCTCAATCAGATTTCATGCAAAGAGGCATTCCGTTATCAGTATGCTAGTGCCATTGGTTTCAGACAAGGAGATCTGTCAATCTTCGTTGTCCAGACCAGTTTTGCTGATGGCACTATCCACGATCTGAGGCCCTATCTGAAGAAGGGCAAAGAGGCTCATGAGCATTTTGATGCAGCGTGGATCTCCGCCACGAGGTATCTCGAGCAGAGGGAGAGAGAAATCGATGAGAGCGGTACCAAACTAATTCTCAGCTTTGGGCCCAAACTTTATACGGATTATCCTAAGCCTCCCGTTCCTTTCCTTCTCACAGATGACACGGGTTGGCATGATATGATCGGCTTGGCAAAAATGTATATCTCTCCAGCGGTGATCGACATTGAGGCACTGACAGAGCCAACCGAGTACCCATACCTCAGGCGAGGAGTCTTCTCAGTGGACGGGTTGCCTACATTGTGGGAGGAGTTCTGCTCCATGGTTAACTTTCGTGTCATGTATTTTGGATGGTCATGCTCAGAGCTTGCTGGCTTCAGGTGACACTTTGTCACGAGGCCTCAGTCTCAGACTGTACGTGGGCGTGGGTCATAGCACTAGAGACAAGCAACGGAACGAGAGATTGAGAGTGACTATCTAGAGGGTTGAGTGAGGACTCTTGAGAGCTGCTGACCACACTTGCTTATGTGTACTTTCTGAGATTTTATGAGTTCCCACTCTTCCCTCATTCATTTTGTCTTTGCCCTGAGTCAGTCAGTCTTGATGTTCTCTTCTTGCATTGCTTGATGATTGTATTTCATTGCTGATTATGTCACAGTTCTCAAATTCCTAAATTGACATCTTGATACACACATGACATATTTAATTTAATTTTTATTATCTGCATTATCATTGCTGTTCCGAATCACAATTAAAGATTCCTAAGACCGGGGACCGGCAAAGACCGCAATTGAAGGGTCTCGCTCGAAGTCGGACGCACACAACAGGAAGGGATTTGCTTATTTAATTTATTTTATTTATTGCAAACACATACAGAATCCTGCGTGACAACCTCTTGGCTTTCCGGTCGCTTGAAGTGGTCCGACTGCAAAAAGTGCGACAACGTGCACACACACACACACACACATACACACACACACACTCAGCGGAACGCATGTACACACACACACACACACACACACACTTGTATGCACACACACACACACACACTCGCGCGTGCACACCGTCTCTCTCTCTCACACACACACTCTCGTTTGTAAATTGTAACATTGGGACTGCTGGTCTCAGTTCCAGCTACTTACACATTGCAGGCATAGCCACTATTCATAGACACTGTTCACGTAATGCGCAGGTCGCCCCCAACAGTAAGCCTCGATAGGGCACAGGGCAGCCGCTATTTGATCCAGACTCAATTAGTGTCTGGCACAACGAGTTTGAGTACAGACGCAGGTAATTCTCGCTTGTGGACTGTGCAAGCATCGTAGTGCACAGACCTGGACCCAGGTAGATGTTAAGCTAGACGAATCGGGCAGATTCAAATAATGGTTAACAATGAATAGATCAGAGAGCGGAAAGACAGATGTCAGAAAGGTTTAGAATCAGTCTGGTTGAGCATGAGGAGAGTCTATCTCTTCCATTTGAGTAGTTTTCACTGAAATTCAGTTTAACCCTCGCTCCGAGTCTTGCATAAAATAATATTAGCATCTTTCACTCGAATTCTTCGCTGATGTGAAGTCTGCGTGATGAGAAAAACATAAGAGGCGGTCACACCACCAGGGTGATTCTTTGACCGCCACATCTTTCTGGCAACGGACCTGACCAGACTAGTGCACAGCGCATAACGGTTGGTGAACCCCACTCGAATAGTACACTCAGGACTATCAAAAACGAGGCACATGAGGGTGACCTCACACTGAATGTTGCTCAGCTCTTTCTCGCACTTAGGTACAGTGACGAAGGGCTACTGTCGACAGATTAGAGCCCCCACGGGACATTCAGGTAATAACCACGACACAGAGCAATACAAACCCAGTTCCTGCTCAGGGTCTCACATTTCAGATCCGCCCTCGCATTGTTCACCCAACCCTCACTCAAGGCATTTCATAGGGCTCAATATGGCAACACGCTTTGTTCTCACACCAAACATGATCTTAATCTCAGCATACGCAGAAAGGTTTTGGACTAGATCGAGTCAACAACCCTTTTTCGTTGAACAACCCAGTGTCGTGAAACGAGCGACCCTAATCCCCGTCCATTAGAAACTTAGCAAGCAAGTATGCAACCTTCCTAAGAGTCACTCGCTTCTTTTCCATTGGGCAACCATGGCTAGACGATAAGTCAATAATGCCATTACTTTATAATCTGCTCTGCTTCAACGTTTTCTTTTTTGCTCTTGCACGGAGGCAGACGAATCCTGACTGTTAGGCTAGAGATTTATTAACAAGCACTAAAAGGGTGAATGCTTATCACGAAGCTCGCCAAAGTCGATCATCGACCTCTCGCAAACGACATCCAGCGTACAGGACACTGACAACTCATAGTTGCCTCGAGCCAAGAATTCAAAGCAACGACGGTGAGTTTATAGAACGGATAAGGATACACGAGAATATCTTATCTTCATGTATGCGTCTTTCTGTATTCCCCGCCAAAACCCCATGATGATCGACGTCATTCAATTTCTCTAGATCACCGTTTCCGAGCCAAAGAGAAAAAGAAATTTGAAGAAGGACATGAGCACTTAGTGGGACCAGGGGAACCTAGCCGCAAGGAGGAAAATTGCCTCACGTACAAAACATTGCAGTGACCTCAACGACTTAGTTCAAAGCCAGCCTGCTCAACGCTCGTCTGAAGAACTAACGAGTAATGCTCACAACGTGTAAGGACGGCGCATGGCGGGTAGAAATGCAAGGTGGCGTTAACTACATGTACTAGTAGTTACTTCCCATTCAAGGTCACCCAACTAACTCGCTGTTGATAGCAAACGACCCAGAACTAGATAAAAACAATTGAAATCTTCCTTTATAACAAGAAGGCAACACGTCACATGTGGTAAATAATCCACATACATGTGAGAGTAGATCTAAACCCGTCTCGTTTACATTCTAAAACTCGCTCGGTACTCACGAGTTGCTGAACGTGCTCTAATCACAACGATGATAGTGATAAGCTTCTCTATGGACTCTTAATTCACATGATCACGTCTGCGCAGAGACATGGTAAGTCAAGAAACTCCTTTTCGCAACAAGCGTCAGTGACTTACACAAGGCTTTTTCTAGTGGATCATTAGATAATGCTCTCAACTGAGAGAATGCGCGCTAACGAAAGATGGCAATGGGAATGCAAACCTCAAGAGTGTTAACTCTCGAAGAGGGCGATAGCAGCAATTAACCGCACTCATTCCCCAGGGCCAGACACTCCAATTAGTTGGCAATCCATCATTCTCACCTCCCATGCGTACTTAGCCCACAAGCATACAAGTGACACTCCCTCGACATTGTGGTCATATCCTCCTTTGCTACTCTTTGCGAATAGCAGTTGATGGGGGTCTGCGCGCCAAGGGACCGGTGAGGATGAGCAAGGATAGAGTTGATAACGTCAACCCCTCGCTCGCACACGGAGCCCTTCACGGAAGTCCGACTTTCCCCATCCCGCTTGTCCAGCCAAAACTCAAGCATCGTTCTCTCTTTCAGCCCACAGCCATCTCGTAGGAAACAACGCCTCTGAACCCCCTCTGTGACCACTCTGCATGGTCAAAGTCAAGGCGACGAAAGCCAAGTCACTCTTGCACATGGCACATCCTCTCTTTCCACAGACGCCTAGTCATGTATCCGCACACGTCATCCTCTCAACATGATGACCCCCTTCGCCTCGCTATGACTTGGCAATAACGACCGCGTCAACGGCCTCTCTCTCGTACCTCTCTTCTTCACACATGTGTGTCCCTTTGTAACCGCCTCGCGTGGACTCTATCTCCCCTTCATCTCGCTATATCCCGAGTAGGCCTGATAGACTCCCTCAAATACAGATAGGACCGGACAGTTATTTGGGCGTCAACCTTCACTGGCATACTTGCATTCCAGCCCATCAACTGAGTATGTACGCATCACCCCCATGACTCGTTTGGAACCGACGTCATCACCAGGGCCGCACGAACGCAAATAGCCCTCTCTCTCCTCCCACTCCCACTGCGCATGCGCTTCACTCACTTCCCGCACGTTATCACCTTCTCGCCGCTCGTACATAACTGCCTTTCTCTCGTAAACTTAGTCCCTCCGCTGGCCAGAACTAGCCTCGGGCCCATCCTCTACCGACTCGGTCGGCGGATGCTCCCTTCTCCACTGCTCCAGCCCGTGCTAGGACCGGGTCTGAGCGTCACTTTCCTCGGAATCTGCCTCTGAGTCCCGGTCTAGCTCTTGTTGCTCTCGCTCGGTAGTACTCATGTATGTCTCTTCTTCATGGTAAGTAACAATAACTTTTAAAGCAGTAGTCACCCGATCTCACCGGCACCTATGTTCGACTCTGTCATGAGCCTCGGTGACCACTCCCTGAATCGCAACATCCTCCATCATTTCTTGCTTTTTTGCCCCGTAAACGTTGACTCTCAACTTTACTGCGTGATCATGTTTGCTATAGTTCAGACAGGCATCAACTATGACACCCTCCTCTCTCTTAGGCTCCCAGCTCCAAAAGTACCGCAGGTATCTCGACTTATAGCCGTAAAGACCTTTGCTGCGCGCCATAGCCACTTGCCAGATAGCCTGAGCACCCCACACTCACGACAGTTATAGTATAGCATGCACTAGGCTCATGAGACAGATCCCGGCTTGAGCGACCCAAAGTGTCTGCTTCCCCTACACGAGAACTGGGAGTAGCCCCTTGTTTTCAGGAGTACTGCGCTAGCCAATAGCAAGTGACGCGGCCCTTTCCGTTTTTTTTTTTTTTATATAGGGTCTCTGTTTCCCCCAATCTCCACGTTCTAAATGAGGGACACTGGCAAGCCTAGGCGGCAGAAATCTGTGCAAGGGCACTTTTGACATCAAGCGGTTGAACCGGGATATGGTTTAGTCCTGCTTCAAGCAGCGCTCTCACCGAGGGTGAGGAGGATATCCTTGGGTCCAGTGTCAGTACATGCGATTGGTTCCGTTCTGGATCCTCGACCATATCCATGGTCTCCCATTGATGAAAAGGGCGAAACCTAGCTGTCCCACAAGGGCACCTGTCCGGCTTGGTGCTATCCTGCCAAGACAAGAGATCGAAATCCCTGAAGACCTCGGCAGGCCTGTATAGCCGGGCAGAGACACGCTCCCCGTATTTCCAACCAAAAATCACCGCATCGAGCGAACCAAGCGCATCTGGGGCTACCCGGGCTAGCGCATCCTAAGAAATCCTTCTGACATTGATCGCCTCAAAAAGCCTTCTCGTGTATAATAAATGCACGTATACAGGTCTCACATTCGTGGCTGCGGGCGTTTTGATCCACTTTTTTCTCCCTGCGGGAGTGAGCCCCATGTGTCCCCGCTTTTCCTAAAAATCAACCACAGACGACAATTAAATGACATCAACATCAGGAGGAGGAAAACATTAGTCGTGATGATTAGCCCAATATTCGTAGTAGAAACAAAACAAGGAAACACTGGAAATGCAACATCCAATCCATCTGAGACCCAATCAAAAACGAAAAAAGAAAAAGGAAAAACACTCAATCGGTCATGAGGGTTGGGACGGCAAACACCCACGAGTGCTACGTAAGCCATGCAGCCCCGACTATGGGTCATTAACCGCACAGTCCTCGTTTGGTTGGTTTCCTATTGAGTGTCGCCTGCGTTTGGGAACCTCTGAGAGCATGGAAGAGGAAGCCCCACTGTTGGTGTGAGAGGGGAGGCGGGGCTCTGGCGGGGTGAGTATCTCAGAGGCCGTCGACCCCTGGGATCCCACAGTCAGCTCCCTTTGCACAGGTGTGAACCGCAGAGGTTGCTGACCCCGGCCATCGAGCGAGACCCTCTTGTTAGGTAACTGGTCTCCCCCCAATTGCTGAGGGGCTTTCCTAGAGAGCTTCTGTGGCAGTGCATGCTTGGTCAAGATCCAGGGAAAGGGGCTCGCCATCAAATGTCTGTTCAGCAGCTGATCAGGGGTGCAGGTCGGATTGCGCAGGAGAGCTTGGGAGGCGAGCATCATGAAGTGGCGGATATAGATGAATGTGATGTTAGCCAGCATCAAAGGCCGCCACGTACTACGGCAGTGCTGTAACACCGTGACAAACCTGGCCTTCCCTGAATTTGTCGAAGGAATGATGACCTCCAGGTGGGCGAAGACTCGCCGAAGAGGTACCATAGGACCTGATCAAACCAGAGCAGCCCAGCATCGCACTTCCGAGTGTTTTGGTACCTGCACTTGCATTTCAAATATGGTCTTCCGATGTTCCAGAACTTCTTCAGCGCGTTAAGGTCCCTTGCACAGCTCAGCGGGGCGGTCTTCTGCATGACCACCGGCTTCTGGTACTGGCACTTCTCCGCATCCAGCTCTTGCAGAGCAGGGAACGACAACCGGCCACCCTTATGGGGTGTCTTCTTCTTCCCCCCATATACTAACACGCCTGCGAGCGCATTGTTGTAACACTCCTCCAGATCCTCCTTCTTCGCCCCCGCCAAAAACTTATACGCCTTAATGCCGATTGGAGCAAGATGATTGAATGACTCGAGCCTCCACACCCTATCTTGGACAGAACACGCAATATCCTCAATCCAGTGCGAGCTCACCAATGGGAGGAATGTGTGCCTCTCATAATCCCTCGCCGTAGGTCTCTTGTGCCTCTCAGTGAGATCCGCTCCTGGCGCTATGAGGAAATCAACTTCCATCCTTTCGTCCTCGTCCAAGTTGAAAACATCCAACATAGAAGAACCCCCGTCCGCCTCCTCCGTATTGTACCGTGCCATGAACCAGTCCAGATGAGTCGATGGCAGCCCCCAGGCCTTCAACCATACCTTCTCCGCTTCCGACGTCTTCAGCTCGATGGTCCGGTCTTCCTTCAAATCCTTGGAAGCCACCTTTTCTGCGTTTGCTGCGTATCTCTCGATCAACTCTACTAACACCGCCCTATCATTTTTGAAAGTCCAGGCCAGCTCCGCCCACTCGTTAAATTTCGTCACCCTTGTGAGGTGGGGGAACTTCCCCGCACCCACCAACCTCCCCACCTCTTCCAAGATGTGCTTGTTTAGCGTCGAGATCAGCGCCTTGGTAGGTTTTGAGGGGGATGGAAGATCCCGAAGCCACTCGTATTTGGACAAGGTGTTGTCCCACCAAGTATCGGGAGTTAGGTCCGGGTCACTACCCTTAGAATCCTCCTCTGCGACCGGAGAGGGGGTCTGCAAACCATCCAAGGCAAACACACGGGGAGGCCCAGCCAACAGCCAACGGGGGGTCGAGAAAATACAAGAGGGTCGAGGCATCATGAGGGTCGAAAAACATAGAGAAAAACAGGTAGCCCTGCACACAGCCTCTCCAGGGATAGCCACATATCACACAGACCACGGTAAAGCCGAGGTGAGCGATCAGAAGAAATTGAAAAAGCAAAGCAGCCATCCGGTGTCCTTCTTTTCAACAGGATTGACCAGGGGGGGGGGTTCGTGTTAGGTGTTAAGCCAATCAAGGTATCAGGGGATTAGTCCTAAAAGACAAGGGCTTCACATCTGCCATGATTACTTTCAATCGCCCAAATATAGACGCAAGCAGACCCCAAGCATTGTCAAAGCCAGGGGGAAGGGCCGCTTATGCGTAGGATGGCGGAGATATCAGGGCGAGGGGGCTCAACCCCAATGCAACTCCCGGGAGAACGACACTCCTTGTTTCAATACAAAAAGAAATCCAAAGCATACTACGCTTAGGTTCCGTAAACACGGCCCGATCCGTCATCCGTAAAGATACCCACCGCAACCCCGTAACGATGATCCAACCAGGGTGTCATAAAAGCATCTATACATGGAAGAAAACGTTAATATTGTTCCATCTTTATCTCATGAGACCAAAATACGCCAGATAGCCAGGGGGGAAGGGTCGCTTATGCGTAGGATGGCGGAGACATCAGGGCGAGGGGATTCAACCCCAACGCAACTCCCGGGAGAGCAACGCTCCTTGTCTTCAATTAGAAAATATTTCGAAGCATACTGTGCTTGGGTTCCGTAACCACGGCCTGATCCGCCATCCACAACAGTACCCACCGCAGCCCTGTAGAAATAACCCAAACTTGGGTGTCATAGCAGGGTCTCTACTCCGAGTCCTGGAACAATCGCTAGTATCCATCCATCTCTATCTCATGAACTCACAATACATCTGATAGCATAATCAACCGTGACCGCAACACGCCACATATGCATTACTCAAGCATGGAAATAAGGAAGAAACAGGGAGTGAACCCGCTTCGCAAGTGATAGCAAAGTATAACCAGGGAAAAACGAGGATTCGACCCCGATTCAGTGCCTAGGAGAACTCTCCATGTGTGTGTTATACTGTACGCATAGCATAAAATGCTATGAACTCCGTAATAAAAACGGCCTGGTATGCTATCACGTATTAGATTCACTGCAACCTGGGGAATCACATTCCTTTCCAATCATGCAAAAGACGAAATAAGCAGCATCCACAAGTTTACGCTGCCATTTATCATGTTCATGAGCAAGGCAAGGGATGAAAGACCAAAGAACGAAAGAAAAGCAATCATACGAGGGACAGATATAGTCATCAGACGATGGATAATCCCACCAAATGCCTCCTTCAATAACACAGGTTCATCAAAAACATTCCCCAAACGAAAACCACCTCCCGCATCCCGAAGCGACAACAGAAATAGTGTTCACGCATACAAGGGCATTACGGTGCCAGTGCAGACCCGGCTCGATCAACTAAGTCGCAATCTTTAGGAAACACCCTCCTCCATTAGCTTAGCAATGAATTGCCCGACCAGCTTTAGCAACTCGTCAACCAGGGCACCGTTATTTGCCRCGCATATCCCTGAGCTAGGCCTAGAGTTGGAAGGCGTCGAACATCCCACAGCCCCTGTTCTCCCTACATCCAKAAATACAAGAAAAGCCAAGAAACTAAYGCAGATGACTACACAGGAGAYAATCATGCACAATGCTACTTCTGATTCCATCAGGTCTATCGAACGAGAGAGAAAAAATAAACRAAGGAACGGGGGAAGAAAAAATGAAGCAAGAAGGAGGGACCCCTCGCTGTCTCCAAGCCCCACGTAGGAACTCCAAAATCGATGTTGCATGAAACGGAGAACCACCTCAGCCATCAGTCCAAGAATCTCCCATCCACCCCACCAGGGCGCCTTATACCTGGGCGCCTTATACCTGGGCGCCTTATACCTGGGCCCACACAAACACCGCTATTCAATATGTCCCGTCTACCGGCAGCACCAACCCCCGAGACCTCAGTCATCAAAACCCCGATGCCACCAAACTACCTGAAACCCGTGGGTCTCCTTGTGGTCATCACACCCCGTACACAGCATTTCAGGCAGCCACATCCATCTTCATCTATGCAATCATAGCCAGCCGCCACCTAGCTCGATAGATCCACCGCAGAAAATCAGTCCACCTCAGACGTGAGCCCGCAGATGGTCATGATGCCGATGAGGGATGAAGAATGATGCAGCTACGCGTGGAGAACCAGCAGAGGCAGAGGTGCGACCGATCACACCACTCGAGGGCCGCCTGGTGTCTCCGCCTTGAGTCAGGCACTCTCGTACAGCCAGGGGAATGCAGAGGAGGTGGCGACTCCCTGAAGCGCTTTTCACTGCCGTGCCACACGGCAGATCGTCAGAGGGTACTTGCAAACAACCACACAATCAAGCCACACACAGATCATACCACAGAGAACGAGACAGAGGGGTGGACCAATACCACTTCTTCGTTTGGTTCCGGCAAGCCCTCTTAGCCGAATGGCAATTCCACATCCTCCATGGCGCTGTGTGTACTCCTTTAAAATGCCGAGCCTCGAGTAGTCGCCTCAGCTCGCAACCTCTGCAGCACGTAGCCTTCACGACGCACACGGAAAAAAAACTNCTAGCTGTCCCACAAGGGCACCTGTCCGGCTTGGTGCTATCCTGCCAAGACAAGAGATCGAAATCCCTGAAGACCTCGGCAGGCCTGTATAGCCGGGCAGAGACACGCTCCCCGTATTTCCAACCAAAAATCACCGCATCGAGCGAACCAAGCGCATCTGGGGCTACCCGGGCTAGCGCATCCTAAGAAATCCTTCTGACATTGATCGCCTCAAAAAGCCTTCTCGTGTATAATAAATGCACGTATACAGGTCTCACATTCGTGGCTGCGGGCGTTTTGATCCACTTTTTTCTCCCTGCGGGAGTGAGCCCCATGTGTCCCCGCTTTTCCTAAAAATCAACCACAGACGACAATTAAATGACATCAACATCAGGAGGAGGAAAACATTAGTCGTGATGATTAGCCCAATATTCGTAGTAGAAACAAAACAAGGAAACACTGGAAATGCAACATCCAATCCATCTGAGACCCAATCAAAAACGAAAAAAGAAAAAGGAAAAACACTCAATCGGTCATGAGGGTTGGGACGGCAAACACCCACGAGTGCTACGTAAGCCATGCAGCCCCGACTATGGGTCATTAACCGCACAGTCCTCGTTTGGTTGGTTTCCTATTGAGTGTCGCCTGCGTTTGGGAACCTCTGAGAGCATGGAAGAGGAAGCCCCACTGTTGGTGTGAGAGGGGAGGCGGGGCTCTGGCGGGGTGAGTATCTCAGAGGCCGTCGACCCCTGGGATCCCACAGTCAGCTCCCTTTGCACAGGTGTGAACCGCAGAGGTTGCTGACCCCGGCCATCGAGCGAGACCCTCTTGTTAGGTAACTGGTCTCCCCCCAATTGCTGAGGGGCTTTCCTAGAGAGCTTCTGTGGCAGTGCATGCTTGGTCAAGATCCAGGGAAAGGGGCTCGCCATCAAATGTCTGTTCAGCAGCTGATCAGGGGTGCAGGTCGGATTGCGCAGGAGAGCTTGGGAGGCGAGCATCATGAAGTGGCGGATATAGATGAATGTGATGTTAGCCAGCATCAAAGGCCGCCACGTACTACGGCAGTGCTGTAACACCGTGACAAACCTGGCCTTCCCTGAATTTGTCGAAGGAATGATGACCTCCAGGTGGGCGAAGACTCGCCGAAGAGGTACCATAGGACCTGATCAAACCAAAGCAGCCCAGCGTCGCACTTCCGAGTGTTCTGGTACCCCCACTTGCATTTCAAATATGGTCTTCCCATGTTCCAGAACTTCTTCAGCTCGTTAAGGTCCCTTGCACAGCTCAACGGGGCGGTCTTCTGCATGACCACCGACTTCTGGTACTGGCACTTCTCCGCATCCAGCTCTTGCAGAGCAGGGAAAGACAACCGGCCACCCTTATGGGGTGTCTTCTTCTTCCCCCCATATACTAACACGCCTGCGAGCGCATCGTTGTAACACTCCTCCAGATCCTCCTTCTTCGCCCCCGCCAAAAACTTATACGCCTTAATGCCGATTGGAGCAAGATGATTGAATGACTCGAGCCTCCACACCCTATCTTGGACAGAACACGCAATATCCTCAATCCAGTGCGAGCTCACCAATGGGAGGAATGTGTGCCTCTCATAATCCCTCGCCGTAGGTCTCTTGTGCCTCTCAGTGAGATCCGCTCCTGGCGCTATGAGGAAATCAACTTCCATCCTTTCGTCCTCGTCCAAGTTGAAAACATCCAACATAGAAGAACCCCCGTCCGCCTCCTCCGTATTGTACCGTGCCATGAACCAGTCCAGATGAGTCGATGGCAGCCCCCAGGCCTTCAACCATACCTTCTCCGCTTCCGACGTCTTCAGCTCGATGGTCCGGTCTTCCTTCAAATCCTTGGAAGCCACCTTTTCTGCGTTTGCTGCGTATCTCTCGATCAACTCTACTAACACCGCCCTATCATTTTTGAAAGTCCAGGCCAGCTCCGCCCACTCGTTAAATTTCGTCACCCTTGTGAGGTGGGGGAACTTCCCCGCACCCACCAACCTCCCCACCTCTTCCAAGATGTGCTTGTTTAGCGTCGAGATCAGCGCCTTGGTAGGTTTTGAGGGGGATGGAAGATCCCGAAGCCACTCGTATTTGGACAAGGTGTTGTCCCACCAGGTATCGGGAGTTAGGTCCGGATCACTACCCTCGGAATCCTCCTCTGCGACCGGAGAGGGGGTCTGCAAACCATCCAAGGCAAACACACGGGGAGGCCCAGCCAACAGCCAACGGGGGGTCGAGAAAATAGAAGATGGTCGAGGCATCATGAGGTTCGAAAAACATAGAGAAAACAGGCAGCCCTGCACACAGCCTCTCCAGGGATAGCCACATATCACACAGACCACGGTAAAGCCGAGGTGAGCAATCAGAAGAAATTGAAAAAGCAAAGCAGCCATTCGGTGTCCTTCTTTTCAACAAGATTGACCAGGGGGGGCTTTTCGTGTTAGGTGTTAAGCCAATCAAGGTATCAGGGGATTAGTCCCAAAAGACAAGGGCTTCACATCTGCCATGATTACTTTCAATCGCCCAAATATAGACGCAAGCAGACCCCAGGCATATCTCAGCATTGTCAAAGCCAAGGGGAAGGGTCGCTTATGCGTAGGATGGCGGAGATATCAGGGCGAGGGGGCTCAACCCCAACGCAACTCCCAAGAGAACGAAGCTCCTTGTTTCAATAAGAAATCCAAAGCATACTACGCTTAGGTTCCATAAACACGGCCCGATCCGTCATCCATAAACATACCCACCGCAACCCCGTAACAATGATCCAACCAGGGTGTCATAAAAACATCTATACATGGAAGAAAACGTTAGTATTGTTCCATCTTTATCTCATGAGACCAAAATACGCCAGATAGCCAGGGCGGAAGGGTCGCTTATGCGTAGGATAGCGAAGACATCAGGGCGAGGGGATTCAACCCCAACGCAACTCCCGGGAGAGCAACGTTCCTTGTCTTCAATTAGCAAATATTTCAAAGGATACTGTGTTTGGGTTCCGTAACCACGACCTGATCCGCCATCCACAACAATACCGACCGCAGCCCTGTAGAAATAACCCAAACTTGGGTGTCATAGCAGGGTCTCCACTCCGAGTCCTGGAACAATCGTTAGTATCCATCCATCTCTATTTCATGAACTTACAATACATCCAATAGCATAATCAACCGTGACCGCAACATGCCACATCTGCATTACTCAAGCATGGAAATAAGGAAGAAACAGGGAGTGAAACCGCTTCGCAAGTGATAGCAAAGTATAACCAGGGAAAAATGAGGATTCGACCCCGATTCAGTGCCTAGGAGAACTCTCCATGTGTGTGTGTTATACTGTACACATAGCATAAAATGCTATGAACTCCGTTATAAAAACGGCCTGGTATGCTATCACGTATTAGATTCACTCTAACCTGGGGAATCACATTCCTTTCCAATCATGCAAAAGACGAAATAAACAGCATCCACAAGTTTACGCTACCATTTATCATGTTCATGAGCAAGGCAAGGGATGAAAGACCAAAGAACGAAAGAAAAGCAATCATATGAGGGACAGATATAGTCATCAAACGATGGATAATCCCACCAAATGCCTCCTTCAATAACACAGGTTCGTCAGAAACATTCCCCAAACGAAAATCACCTCCCGCATCTCAAAGCGACAACAGAAACAGCGTTCACGCAGAGAAGGGCATTACGGTGCCAGTGCAGACCCGACTCGATCAACTAAGTCGCAATCTTTAGGAAACACCCTCCTCCATTAGCTTAGCAATGAATTGCCCGACCAAATTTAGCAACTCGTCAACCAGGGCACCATTATTTGCCGCGCATATCCCTGAGCTAGGCCTAGAGTTGGAAGGCGTTGAATATCCCGCAGCCCCTGTTCTCCCTACATCCAGAAATACAAGAAAAGCCAAGAAACTAACGCAGATGACTACACAAGAGACAATCATGCACAATGCTACTTCTGATTCCATCAGGTCTATCGAACGAGAGAGAAAAAATAAACAAAGGAACGGGGGAAGAAAAAATGAAGCAAGAAGGAGGGACCCAGTGTCGTACTCGTGACCGTGACCAGAACCGGTCACATGAACGTGACCGGCCGTTCATTTGGTGTTTTTTTTTGTGAACGGGCCGACCACTACAGAGTGGCGTTTTTTTTTTTTTTTTTTTTTTTTTTTTTTTTGGGCTCCCCCAGGTACATTCGCCTCAAGCCCCACAGCGTGATGACATTGAAAAAATAAAACAAAATCGAAATGACCTACAAAATAGCAAACGAAAATGCTTATTTTGGCTGGTTGATTTATTTTATTTTTTATTTTTAATTAAAAAAAATATTATTCGTGAAATTGTTTTTTGAAAAAATTATAGGGAGTTACCCTTCGATGTCCCCCACCCTCCTATAAAAAAAAACAAATACCCCCCAAGCAAAAAAAAAAAAAAAAAAAAAAAAAAAAAAAAAAAAAACCGCTCTCCGTGAACTCCATGAACTCCCGTGTCGTGAACGGGGTGAACTCCATGACCGGTCTCCGTCCGCAGACCCCGTGAACGCTGACCGGTGGTACGGCACTAGAGGGACCCCTCGCTGTCTCCAAGCCCTACGTAGGAACTCCAAAATCGAGGTTGCATGAAACAGAGAACCACCTCAGTCCAAGAATCTCCCATCCACCCCACCAGGGCGCTTTATACCTGGGCCGACACAAACACCGCTATTCAATATGTCCCGTCTACCTGCAGCACCAACCTCCGAGACCTCAGTCATCAGAACCCCGATGCCACCAAACTACCTGAAACCCGTGGGTCTCCTTGTGGTCATCACACCCCGTACACAACATTTCAGGCAGCCACATCCATCTTCATCTATGCAATCATAGTCAACCGCCACCTAGCTTGATAGATCCGCCGCAGAAAATCAGTCCGCCTCAGACGTGAGCCCGCAGATGGTCACGATGCCGATGAGGGACGAAGAATGATGGAGCTACGCGTGGAGAACCAGCAGAGGCAGAGGTGCGACCAATCACACCACTCGAGGGCCGCCTGGTGTCTCCGCCTTGAGTCAGGCACTCTCGTACAACCAGGGGAATGAAGAGGAGGTGGCGAGTCCCTAAAGCGCTTTTCACTGTCGCGCCACACGGCAGATCGTCAGAGGGTACCTGCAAACAACCACACAATCAAACCACACATAGATCATACCACAGAGAAAGAGACAGAGGGGTGGAACAATACCACATCTTCGTTTGGTTCCGGCAAGCCCTCCGAGTCGAATGGCAATTCTCCATGGCGTTGTGTGTACTCCTTGAAAATGTTGAGCCTCGAGTAATCGCCTCAGCTCGCAACCTCTGCAGCGCGTAGCCTTCATGACGCACACGGAAAAAAAACTAGGAGAATGCGAGTTTTTCCACCACCGATCACGCAGCAGATTTTGCGGGCAGTAGACAACATATCGTGAGCAGAGCGAATGAGGAAGAATGCGTCGTCAATGAGTATTGCTTCGAAGGCCGGCCGAAACCTCCTTTACCATAGATCAGACGGCCCAATCCCGACGGATGGATAGCAGCGATCGTCAAGTAGGGGCCCGCCTTCTCGCGGTCAGAATATTGCGGAAAAATACCCTGGCCGGAACCATGAATGGTGACCCTAAAACAGGCAGGGGTACCATGCATTGGTTTTGCGTATGAACACTCCCCTGTCCCCCCGGCCATGAAAAAAATGAAAAAAATGAAAAAAATGAAAAAAATGAAAAAAATGAAAAAAATGAAAAAAATGAAAAAAATGAAAAAAATGAATGAACGGACGAGTGAATGTGTGTGTGTGTGTGCGTGTGTGTGTGTGTGTAAGTGTTCGCGAGGGGGAGGCGACCCCCCCACTGCCAATCAATCAATCAATCAATCAATCAATCAATCAATCAATCAATCAATCAATCAATCAATCAATCAATCAATCAATCAATCAATGTATACATGTTAATCAATCAATCAATCAATCAATCAATCAATCAATCA